CATGATAATTCTAGAAACGTTGCGTCACGTGGTCATGTGACTCGCTGACGCAACAGTATTATCGCAGTTGCTTTCACTGGCTTTCTATTGCAATTGTTTCTATTATTCGTTATTTTCAACGACTTTTCATTACATGTAGTTTATATAATTTTCAATATATATATTTTCGAACAGAACGTATTATTTGTCTTACTTTAAGAGTCGTTATGATATTCACAAGTAAAATTATAACCAAAAGCTAGATACCAAGTGTCATAGTAATAGGAGTATCATCATCATTTGTTTGAAAAAGAACAAAACGAACATATACAGCAAAACAAAGACTCGAGTGTTTATGTAAATTCGGAGAGAAAATCTTCATTTTTACAATATCAAAAATAAAGGTACTGGGGTATTTACTGTGATGCTGGCTGTCTTTTAAAGGTACTGGGGGCCAGCATCACAGTAAATATGTCTTCTAAAGGTACTGGGGTATTTACTGTGATACTGGCTGCCCCAGTACCTTTAGAAGATATTTACTGGGATGCTGGCTGACTTCTAAAGGTACTGGAGTATTTACTGTATTGCTGGCTGTCTTTTAAAGGTACTGGGGTATTTACATAATAAATTTAAAAGCGAATTAGATACGTTAAAGGACGATGTGTTGTCTTTTACACAAGGAGGATACATTAACCATCGACTTAATCAGCCCCAGACAATGGCAAGCCCCTTCCAGACCCTGCAGCTAAACCCTATTGCAGACATATTCAGTCCCGTTAGAAGTCACGTCCCAGATATGAATGTCAGTAATAGGAGTGAGCCAGTGCGAAGGAAGTCACAGGAATTCGATGGAAAGGCACCGTGTGATGCATATAGAGCACAGTTTGAGTTACTGGCAGAGATGAATGGATGGACAGAGGAGCAGAAAGCTGTATATCTGGCAACGAGCTTGAAAGGACAACCACTGGAAATACTTGGACAGTTGACAGCAGTGGACAGACACAACTATAGAGCACTGGTAGAGGCTCTGGAAGTCAGGTAGGGAACTCAGAATCAGACAGAAGTCTACAGGGCAAGGTTTAGGACGAGAATCCATGCTAAAGGGGAGAGCCTGCAAGAGCTGGCACAAGACTTGGAGAGCATGGCACACAAGGCCTACCCAACTGCACCACCCAATCTCCTCAAGTTGTTGCTGAGGGATCAGTTCGTAGATGTCTTGGACAGTCCACAACTTAAGATACAAGTGAAGCAAGCACACCCCTCTACCATGCAGGATGCGATGGCCAGAGCTCTAGAATTTGAATCCTACATTAAGTCCAGCCCAGAGGTACCAAGGTTGGTACAGTCATCTGGATTCAAGGCCAGAAAAGGTCTGCTTTCAGAGAGGTTTGAGGGACTTTGCTGGCACTGTAATAAACCTGGGCACAAGAGAGCTCAATGCTGGAAACTTCAACACAGGGGGGACGATACAGCAGTAAGGGCTGGTATCCAGAAAAGTTGTTGGAACTGTGGAAAGCACGGACATTTGAGGAGCCAGTGTAGGAAGAATATTACCAAATAGTCGGCCTCAAGGAGACCAGTAGTGGTTGGTGTTGAGCGACGCCCACCAACCCCCATCATGAAAGTCCCAACAGCTAGGTGTGAAATGCCAAGCATACACAGTGTCTATGTGACAGGAAAGCTAGATGGACAAAGATGCAACTTTGTCATAGACTCTGCGTCTCAGCAAACCCTTGTGAGCATCAAGATGTTAGATCATGAAAGAGTACCAGAAGCCATACAGAAGCTTTATGGTGTGACAGGACATTCTACAAGATTGTGAGGACCAGTGTGGGTAACTATTGAGCTCATGGGCATAAAGGACAGACAGGAAGTATACTTGGCTGACATTGAAGACGAATGCATATTACGATTGGACTATCTTCTACCAAGGAAGTTTGTAATTGATTTTGATAAAATGACGTTTGGGAACAAAGGCCAAGTTCCGGTAACTGTTAAAAGAGAGGTT